TACTAACTCGAAAACTTGTAGGAAAACAGCGGATGAAATTTTGTCTGCATGTTTGCCACCCATATAGGGAATCATATACCTAAAATGAGTACCAATTTACACTTGCGCCACGACTTAGGACACTTCAAAAATATTTGTAGCGAAGTGGATATTTCGCTTCCCGGATAAGTGCGAGGGTAAGACTTCGTTGGGATATTCCACTTTCAAATGCGGTCTTAATTCTGCTTGAAGGTGAAATTCCCTGCAGGTGGGCGTAAGAAATACTCAAGTTTACCGAAAAATTAGAAACGATTGCGTTTTGCAGCGATCGACAGCCCTCATTCAAATATGCGATGAAAATTCAGTTCATTTGCATACTTGGATTTTTTAACAAACGACCGCTTTAGCAACACTTTCCACTTTTTAGTGGACTGGAAATTTGCATTTTTTCAAAAAATTTGCATTTTTTAATTTTTTTTCAAAAAGTGAGCATTTACCGAAACGACCGAGCTTCATGAAAAAACTGGTAATCATGTACCTGGAGGTCCGTGCGGCTCTATAATCCACCACCTTTATCCCAACCGACGCCTTTCCTCCTGCATGCCGGAAGGGGCCAAAGCATGGTCAATATGAACTCAAGTGTTAGACTACAGCGCTGGAATCATTCCTGATATTAGCGACTTGCGAGTTTAGTACAAAAATGCATGATCGCACCGGTAAGCCTGGTACGTTCCCGCCTGAGTTACATTCCTCTTCATGAAAAATTTACAGTAATTATCATGCTGGAGGCTGAGATTTTCATCAGGCTGCTCTATGATGCAACACTGCCGTCCCAACCGACACCCTGTTCCTCCTTCGTGCAGGAAACACAAAAATACTGCCAACATGAGTGCAGGTGTTAAGCTGTAATGCAACAACCACTTGTATTGTTAACACTCTGATTTTTTTAAGTTTACTGTAGAAACGTGTTTTCGCACTTGCACAGCTGGTAGCAACGTGCCTAGGTATGAAAATGGCCTCTCGCTAATGAAATTAGGGTCGGAAAAATTGTTCAATTTTGACGATCTTTTTTCCTTGAAATAATTGATTCAGGCTGTTTTCAGCCCGCTGCTAGTAAAATTCCCTGGAGTGATAACAGATTCTGTCTGCGCCCTTGCTAAATGTGCTGCACATCTGAGTCAAAAAATGGTAACGAATGCAATAGAATTGCCTAAACTCATAGGATTAGCATGATTTGAGACTGCATCCATTCAGCACCAATTTATTCAGGATTCACAAGATGCATAGCATACATGCACATATGTATTTTCTGAAAAATAAGTATGTATATATTTTACAGTTAAACTCAGGTAATAATCAAGGCAGTGATTCGCGGATTTCATGCAAAAATGCAAAGTTTTTTTTCACAGTTGACAAATGAAGTAGGTCACATAATTAGTTTTCTGGACTAAAATACAATATCATCTTAATGATGGCTCACTCAAGCATGTAGCTCAAACAGTTTTGTTTTCCGGATCGCAGTCGTTTGTATTTTCCAATAATTTTCGGTTGTTGTCATCCAAAAAAGAAAAAAGTGCTTTTTTTTGTATTTGAAGACGCCATAGTGGGACTTGTGGATGCTTAAAAAGATACTTTTTCAGAACTGAATGTAAAACTGTTTTAATAAACTAGAATGACAAACACTTCTTAGCTCGGGCACTTGGTTGGCCCTGAGTGACATTCTTTTCTATGCAGTTTTCCTGGCTCATTTTTAAATTTCACTTTGGTTTGTTTTTATCTGGAAGAAAAGGAACGAAAGAATTAACCAGAGATGAACAATTTTTGATAAAATGTATGAGGTATGATTTGCTGCACTGGATTCATTTGTACTCCAAACGATCGTAAGGCCTGCGAGGACACAGCAGTTACCTTAAGGCCTGCGAGGGCACAGCTCTTTTGCCTCACTGAATAGTTTTAAATGCGCTCTTTTTTTTAATAATTGAAGGCTGCAGGCCAAGTCGGGAATATTTGCATCTCCGTCGAGAACAGCTCATATCTACGCAGTGGCGTTTTAGGAATAAAAGTGCGGGAGGGAAAAGAAAGTGGATACCCAGTGCAAAATCATGCTTGCTAGATATAAACATGCAAAAAATTAAAACTTCACGCCAAAATGTACGAAATTAATTGCTGTAATAAAAATTTTAGCAAACAAATGCACAAAAATGACGAACTAAGCCAAAGGGCTGATTTGAAAAAGTTAGGTTCAAGTAAATGGCATAAAAGTAGATAAAGCGCTCCATTTTAGCAGTCGGAAACTGCAGTTTTCAGGAGGTGTCTTTGCTGAACGCAGCGCCTCAAATTCTTCTTACTGGAGGCTGAGTATGCCGCCAAAACATTGCATAAGAAATTTAGTAACCACTCGATTCAACAGGATATGGTGCCGGGGCTGGTTGTTCCACAGGAGTAGGAGCTTGTTCCGGAGCTTCATAAGCATTGGCTGGAGCCGAGGCTGGGGCTGGTTGTGGGGTGATCGGTTCATCGCCGTATTCGTTGCTACGTTTCTTACGATAGCCGCTTGATTCAACAGATGGCTGCGAAACCGGTGGCAACGGTTGCTCGGCGGTAACCGGAGCTTCTTCCGGTAACACGTATCCAGTAGCCTCTGAAACCGCAGCTGGTGTTATTGGCTCGTCGCCGTAACTGTTATCCCGTTTCTTGCGATAACCACTCGATTCAATAGATGGTTGTTCCGAAGGAGCTGGTTGTTCCACTGTTGAAGCTACCACCTCTGCAGGTGTCTGCGGTGAACTTTCTGTCAGCAGCGGTACTTCTGTGGTTGGTGGCACTGGCTCATCTCCATATGAGTTATCACGTTTTGTCACTGAAACAAACTTGCACTTTTTTTTAATTTTTGCATTTTCTTCGAACTTTTGTAATTTTTTCTTTTAATCTTGATAATGTCAAATGAAAGGAATATGGAAAATTTGATTTACTAATTGGTCGCAATTTACGCCAAATCCGTCGTGCTCCTAAAGATCTTGAACTCTCGAGGAAGCCTGACATTGATTTTCTGCCCTAATCCTTCGAATCGAGCCTGTAATGGCCAAACTAATCTTTCTGTAAATCAATAATTCTCCAAGCTAACGGAATAGATTGAAACGTATAACATTCCAGTACTAAATCCAATATGGCGCACTTGGTCTGAAGTGTACTTTGGGGTAGCAGAGACGAATAGAATAAAGGATTTGTTGGTGTGTATTTACGGCAGTCAGGTCAAGCTATTGATATTGAGGATGCCCAATCAGGTAGCAATGAAGAAGGGGTAGCAGAATGAAAATATCGAGATTCCGACGGTTGCTTGAAACTGTAGGGATGACGACGAAAACGGGACGAGACGTTGTAGAAACCGAGACCCGGGACAAGGCGTTGTAGAATTCGAGACCAACGGATGTTGTAGAAGTGAAAGTGGACGGGCATTATGAAAGAAGACTTGGTCACATTTTTCCACTGAAGCCCCGGGTGAAAGTGGCGAGGTTTTTATAGGTTGTTGGAACACCTTATCGCCTTTCCGCAATCTGATGTGAATATCGCTAAGGGCATCCTGAGAAAGTATTATGTGGATTATACATGATGATAAAAGCTACATGAGAGAAAGTCACTGTAGGCGATAAAAAGGAAAGATTAAATACCACACAAAGCCACATTAAGGTTCACAACATACAATTCATTGGCGAGGCACACCGAGCGGACCCGTGCGATCATATGTTTTTGCAGTATTTCGTGATGTAATGAGATCGTTCGGCGTGACGTAGTGGTCCTCGAAGTTCGAGAAGTTAATTGTCTGCTAGGTACTTGGACAAGGGGCATTCCGTTAATATTTCGGCTTTCTAACTTTTTTCTAGTTCTTAAGTTAGCGATTTCCCTGACGAAAAATTTCATGGGTCTAAACGTGAGAACCACACGTGGCTGAGAACTGAATTTGATATCTTTAATTTTTTAGGGGCTGAGAACATAACCCGAAAATTTCAGCCCCCAGCTTTCCTGGTCTCTGAACTAGCCATTTTTCAGCCAAAAACTTTCATGGGGCTGTGCTTGAGAACCATAAACACCGAAGGGTGAATTTGATAACTAAGTTGTACATGGGCCGGGAACATTCTTTGAAAATTTCAACCTCCCAGCTTTCCTGGTTCCCGAGTTAACGGTTTTCTCGTCAAAAAATCTCACGGGGTCGCGCTTGAGAACCACGTATGCCTGGGGACTGAACCTAATAAATTTAGCTTGTGCGTGGCTGGAAGCATCCCTTTAAAATTTCAGCCTTCCAGCTTTTCTGAATCCCAAGTTACCGATTTTCCCGCCTCCAACCTTCATAGAGCCGTACGTGAGAACCATGCATACCTGGGGTTGAGCTTGAAACCTTTGAATTCCATGTGGGCAAAAATTAACGAAAGAATTTTAGCTTTCTATTTTTTCTGGTTTCCGAGTTAGCGATTTTCACGCCAAAACTTCACACACTCGTACGCGGGGCCTAGACGTGCGTGAGGGTCGGTACCGCGGTCTTGGGATGGCACTTGCTCGGGAAACCCACTGGCAAAATTTCGGCGTCGCAGCTTGCTTAGGTGCCGAGTTAAAGTACCCGGACAGACGCACACACACCCACACACACACACCCACACACACACACACACACACATACACACACACACACACACCGAAGTCGTTGTAATGTGCCCTTTCGCATCTGCATATAAGCAAGACGCATAATAACCCAGGCTGGAACGAACCAGGCTAACCGGTACGATCATGCGTTTTTGCACCAGACTTGAACTAATTAGGTTAACTGCATGAACAGCTGTTCCTTCACACCTACCTTGAACGCTCAATACCGTAAATCATCATAAATTTTGCATAAACAGAAATAAACAATTTCCATTTAGCGAACGTTTTTATGCGTTTTTGCCTATATGCAAATTGCAAGAACGCATATTGCAACAACCCTGTCTGTGTGTATGTGTGTGTGTGTGTATGTTTGTGTGTGCTTGTGTGTGTGTTCGTCTGCCCAGCTATTTCAACTCGGCAATCAAGCAAGTTCCAGCGCCGAGATTTTGCTAGTGGGTTCCTCGGTCAAGTGGCACCGCAGAATGGCGGTACCAACCCTCACACAAGTCTGGGCTCCGCGTATGAGAGGGTGGAAGTTTTAGTGGGAAAATTGATAACTCGGGAACGAGAAAAGACAGAAAGCTGAAATTTTAAGGATATATTCCCGCCCAAATATAACTCAAAGATTAAAAATTCAGCTCCCGGGTGCGCATGGTTCCCGCGTACGGCTCCATGAGTGTTCAGGACGCGATAATCGCTAGCTTGGGAACCAGGAAAGCTGGGAGGCTGAAATTTTCAAGGAAAGTTTCCACCATAAGTACAACATGAATCTTTCAAATTCCCCCCTCCCCCCC